CGAATATCACAACCATATAGATTAAGTCATCAAAATAAGTGCTAAATGTTGACCATAGTATGCAATCATAGCTTACCCAGCTTCCACTTCTAACGGTTTGGATACATAAGTAGTAAGCTATTGTTGTAAAGCAAAAAATATTTCACAGAAGAATTCAACAGAGATTATGTGTAAGTCAAAGATTAATGGTTTGGTGCACAATTTGATATCGGACATCGTGCAATCATGAAGAATTGATAAACAATTAAATGTTTAATGATGACGAATTTTAGAAAATGGCTAATGCTCTTAATTATTACTATAATTGTTATTATGTTAATACTAGTTGTGTTAACAATACTAATACTGATAATTATTATTATAATATTACTGACAATTTTTATTGTAATATTACTAATAATTATTATTATTTATCCACATTATTTCTATCAATTTTTATCATAATATTTATATTAATTTTTTAGTAGTATCGACTTTATTTTTTGTCATGAAAGCATTTGAAAATTACGAATTACGAACAACTGCCACTCATTTTAAGGCTATTTAAAAAATTTTATAATATGTTGCCATTGTATAAGAGTATTTTGCTAATATGAATGCCCAGGATATTAAATTCGTTATAGTATAGAGCGATAAAATTAAATTAGAATATCATTCGCCTTTTTGAGACCATGAGACACTACCAAAAAACAACGGCTTCAAATTCTTCATATGGAAGAAATTGAAATCAGTCAGATTTCAACATCGCCTAATCCATAATAATATACTACGTGCATTAATGAATTGATTAATTATGCGATCAACATGAAACTACTACCTACAATTAATGCATAGCAAAAACAAAAGGTGTGTTACATTGGTCGCTTTTTTCTTTCCTTTCTTAGTAACTGTCGTCTATGATGGGATCAAATGAGCTCTTAATGAGCAAAACAGACTATGAATTTTGCACGTACCCAGACAGTTATATGTGTTTGGTATGGGAAAGAATTAGGAAATAGATCTTATTAGACGACTTTTTTTTTTTATGTCGATGGTTTGCTAGAATATACTATAACGGTTAAACTACAATGATTATTATGATGATAATCATATTAGAAGATTTTTTTTTTATATCGATGGTTTGTTATATTATAGCGGTTAAACTACAATAATTATTGTGATGATGATGACCTTATTGGGAGACTCTTTCTTTATTTTATTATCTTAATTTAATTCAATTATACGTATGGGATTCGAACCATCTCTTCAAAGTTTACTGCGTCTAAATTGTTACACAATTTAAAATTTATAAGCCTTTTCAGCTAATGGAAGGCGAATTTGCAAATGCTTCCGAAATTGGCTCAAATCTGCCAAATTTGACAGACCTGAAGAATTATCTGCGTGAAGAGAAGCCGCTTTATTTCCAAGTATTGGAACAATATTTGCGAAATGCGGCAAATATCGTATGTTTATTTTTTGGTCTGAAATTTACTTATTGTAAGATAAGGTATGACACATTTATATCACTTACGACCTCATTAGCAAATAACTTCTTATCTTGCTATTATTGCTATCAGAATTGGTGCAAGAAGACTGTATAAAGGTAAGGTAATAGAGGGTTCATATTTTAGTATAACTTATGGAACGGATTCAATGTAAAGAATAAAAACGTTTCATTGAATTTTTCATTTGCTGTCGTAAGCAATATTATTATTCCTTTTTAGATAAACAATTTAACAGCGAAATTTGAAATGCTCCATGAGCTCCTGGAGCGCGAGCAAGAAATGGAGCGACAGCGTAAAAATGAAGAGCGGCTCGCGCTCGAACTCATCGAGCAACAACAAGAAGGTAAAGACCAAGAAATGATGGAGCCAGTACCGGCACTGGAGGAAGAGGAGCTGGCAGAGTGGCGACAGGTACCACACGAGCCATCCCTTAATGGGGGAAGTGTCGATGTGGTACCAAAAGCGCAGGGAGCGGTCACGGAATGTAGAGAAGTGGAAGAAATGCGTGAAATGGTACGTAAGTTCACTTTCCAAGCTATATAAGTGTGGTGAAAAATACTGATGGGAAAAATACTGATGTAAAATGTCGAACTAATTCATCAGCTTATCTTTAAAAAAAATGCATAGTGTGAATTATTTCACAGTGGGAATATTCTAATTAGGATGAAAAATTAAGCACATAACAACTTTGAGAGAATGATTTTCGCTTATGAATACATGTTTCAGGCATTCCAGAACCGTGCGAATCCCAATTCTAATGCGACAAGGCCGCGAGGTGGAACCAGCGAGTCCGGAGGCCTTCCATATGCCGGTAGTGGAAGGTTTGCCGGCACAATATCAAGAGCTGCTGGTTGTGCCAGAAATCGATCCGTACACAGTGATTAGGAATGCTGATGGGTCGGTAATAATTGGTAAGTTAAACTTATTTTATCACTACATTTAAATTTGATACGGATGATTTGTATAGATGTTTTCTTCTAATGCATGTCATCTTTTCAGAATGCGGCATGTGTCCTAAAGAATTCGGGACGCTAAAGAGATAGGGATTCACGCCGCCAAAATGCATTGACAAACTGGTAAATTCAACTTGAAATATTATTGCTTAGATTAAGCGCAGTTTTTGAAGGAATTTTATTTAACGAAAGTTTATCTGAACATTTTCAGTATAATATATCTGTTTCAGGCTTTTGCCAG